CAACAACACCCTATTTTTTTTCAATTTGGCATTATTGCACAATTTGCCCTGGCAATATATAAATGAAGAAATGTTATAGATCCCAAACATTGCTAGATTTTCATCTATCATACCATGAGAGACAAGTATTCTAATAAGTAGTTGCAAGAAGCCAAAACTCATAGTTGTAATCTTATCACCTATCTAAACTATCTAAACAATATCACTGATATTATACATAGACTTGGATCTCTTGAAAAGTCTTTATTGCTTGGAAAGATGGATGGAAAAAAAAGATGGCCAACAGCAAGGTAAATGGTCTCAATTACTGAAGGATGAACCATTAAAAAACCTCAAGGGTCAACTTGGAGACAGATTATCTGAAGATCTGTGTAGTTGTTGAGAGCTGATATGGATTTGAGGGCACAAATCACTTTGTGATATGGAGTTGATAGGATCTACTTTTCTCAAGACCTTCATCAGAATACAGTTCTAAAAATTATTTTTCTAAGAAGACTGTGCGGTTAAAGCTCCAGGATCGACAAAGGTGGTATTTGGTATATTATAATTTACCTCCTAGAGACCTAGAGTTTCATTATAGTGCTGACTTGCACACAGCTTCTCTTGTAAATTTGTAAGGTTGATTCATAACAATGTAGAGAAGAGATTATAGCTATTCTTAGCAACTCATCAAATATAAACATTAGTACTTAATATTAATATATATATACTACTAACAACATAAAAATGCCATTGCCTATGACTTTTTAAAGAACAGTGAGGGAGACAAAATAATAGTTACCAAACACATATGAGATCAGTAAAAAAGGCAAACTCCTTCTAAGTTGATCTCTTGAGAACATCTCACAACTGCCCAACTGTCAAAACAACAGAATCTTGGAATACCCAGAAGAAGCTTTCTAGGTTGCAAGTCACCGTGCATGCCAATAGCACAGATGTCTAGCCAAGATATGCTTACCTTTGTTCATATGCTTACAAGTAATAGTGAAAGCTTTTCAATATGCTTGAAAGATTGTAGGAAGAAAGTATAGCTCACATCAAAGAAGAAAATATGAAGCCTCTTTTCCTGCGATCATAACACTTCATATAAGAATATGAATAATGGATTCAGAGTTCCTTACTTTGAATTTAAATGCTTGTTGTAGAATTCTGCAATCTCCAAAAGGACGTACTGATGCATTAGAGAGCTAGCTAAAAGCCTGAAAAACATCAGACAATTTTAAAGAGGCAGTTGTAGCTTTGTCATCCACATATCATGTATATGTATGGGAATCTTTCCATTGTAAAAGTTAATATGCCACCTCTAGTGTGTGGGGGACAACATTCCCCTGCCTCAATTTTGATTCATCTGGAATACATCATTAATGGCACACTTCAAAGAGCCCCATGAAATATGAGAGAGGCAACAGGCTTTATATGTTTATAAAAGATACTCATTTCCAGAACTTAAGACGTGCAAATGGAAAACCATCTGATGTTTTAGTTATTTGCAAGTGTGCATTAAGAGCATGTGCTAAAAGACTTCTAGTTCTTTTTTGAAAACAGCTTTAATTAATTCAAAATTGTATTTCTGGCTCAGCATTTTGCACAAAGGAAAGTAAAGAGGGCCCTACCTGTTTAGTTTCTGAGCGGCCGTGTGCAGTGACACTGTTGTGAAACTTCAGAATGGTAGTAGGTTATTTGGCCAATAAATTGCTGAGTTTCTGCTTTTCTTTCCTTACCAAGTAATTTCAGTTTAGATTTGCAAGAACTATCAGGTAAAATATCAGTACATATAAACATCTACCAAAATATATTCAGTTTATTTTGTGCCTGAATGAAATGGTTAATCTTTTAAAGAAGACACAGTTTTGAGCTCAAATCACAAAACCTCCTATCTTTTTCCACTGCCATCATCCTCCAGCTATATAATTATTTGGGTGGACATATGCATTATTTACTTGGGAGGATTTCTTATTTTTCTGCTTCTGGGGGGTCAGAGATACATACAAATCTTCTACCTGACAATAAGCTTTCAGGTCAGCTGAAGCAAGAAAGCAAGAAATGTATGCCAATGTATTTTCTTCAGCAAGAAAGTCACATCTAGCAATATTTTATTATAACATTTTGTAAAGCCACAGGCAAATTTCACCTCTGTGAGTTATCTGCTTGGGTTCCAGTGTCTACAGAGAGACTAAAGTGATCAAAGCCTTCCTGGATTTAGAATTCTCTCTCTTATACATGGAAAGATGTGAGATCTATCAGACATTTTCCTCACAGATTTCTGCACCATTTTTCATACACGTCCCAACTTCCTATGACAGAAAATAATTTTCCTCTACTTTACACTTTTTTTATTACTTTTCTCCTGCTTCTTGGTTTTGGTCAATAATTTAGCCTGATGAAAACTCTGTGGAATTTGGAACATTGTCCTTAGCTACATGACATTTTAATTGTTTCAACAAAGGCTCAGAGTTACCAACTATAATTGTTTTTCCCCTTCTGATTAACTTCATCTGGGGACTTCCACGGCACTTTATTCCACCCCAGAGTTACTGCCAGATAAAGAAACAAAATCCAACTCCACAGACAAAGGAAATAAGATAACATTCCTACAGCCTTCTTTCTTTTGCTTGTTTCTGGTGGTATGCAAAAACAGGAGTAGCTTGAGGAAGAAAGAAAGATTGTAAAGGTTTCCCAGCTATTTTACAATATTCCTCTATTCATTTGAGTGGGAAGATAAAATGCTAGCATTCTGATGATTTTGCAATTAAATGCTTGTTCTTATAGTTGTATCCATGGAATGGGCAAAGATGGAGATTAAACAATGTATGCAGGAAGAGACATGACTCAGGAACAGGATCCTGTACTTCTCTGGAGGGGACAGGGAGAGAATAATAGCTAGCTTGAACCAGGAGAAAGGGTGAGGCAAGCATTCCCATCAATGGAAAAATGGACTATTGAGAAGGTCTGCAGAGTTGTAGAGATCAGCTGTGTGTGATTTCAATTAGATCACAATGTAGAGCAACCAATATTTTGTCAAAAATCAAGGCTAACACTTAGAATCCACTTAAATCCCTCCCACTGCCTGCACTCAATATAGGGCTTAAGGCATCTTTGCACAATCTGAATTCATTATGTTGGACTAGATCAGAAGTCCCCAACCTTTTGGGCACCAGGGACCAGTTCCATGGAGAGAGGTTTTTCCACAGACCAGAGGGGGCGTGGTTTTGTGTGCTGCCTGCATCTCGCGGATGGGGCTTTGCTTGTTTGTGTGGACCGGTTGCTGGCATGCCATGGCCCGGTACTGGTCCACAGACCGGGGGTTGGGAATCCCTGGACTAGATGGTTTGAAATTAGTTCTTGGTTGTTGTTAGTGATATGATACTTAACCACTCTTAAATTAATGCAATATTTTGATAGCATAGTCCATACATTGGAGATATTCAACCTAGAGATACAAACTATAAACCCCACATTTTGTAATAGGACAAAGATTAGATGTCTGGAAGTTCCCTAAATGATTATACAGTGATCTAATAGAAAGTTACAGTAGGGCAATTTTGAAACATGGTTTCAAAGCATATTATGGTACCTGAATGCCTTGTTCAACCCCAGGCTTCTTAAATGTTGCTTCATCTCTAAGAATTATGCTTTTAATTTTTATCCTAACACCTAGTATACCTTGTTATAACAGCAATTTTTATCCTGTAGTCCACAGCATGATACTATCATATCCTGATTTAAAATGGCCTGCTGGTTTATTTAAAGAATTGTGGTGAGAGAGATCTCTGGGAAAATGAAATGCTTCTAGTTTCATTCTAGTTTGCTTTGATTCATTATATGTTCTCAAACATTTGTGAAGGGCTTTATAATATGATTATAACTTCCTGAATCATTTTAGTTTATTGAAAATTCCGGTGAAGCCTCTGTTTTGGTAAATCAGAAACCCTGGATTAGAAATCTGACCACGGTACTCAGATATATCATTATCTAATGTCTGAAGCATAACCTAAGGCAGGGGTCTTCAAACTTGGCCCTTTTATGACTTGTGGACTTCAACTCCCAGAATTCCTCAGCCAGGCACGTTGGCTGAGGAATTCTGGGAGTTGAAGTTCACAAGTCATAAAAGGGCCATGTTTGAAGACCCCTGGCCTAAGGCATGAATGAAAAAACCTGCAGCTGAGAAACATTAGAAAACATGATGAACTAGTCAAGTTAAGCCCCAGCTCTTGGCTGCACAGCCCAGGGATTCTTCTGTTTGAGGAGTATATTAAACAGTCACCCTCTGATCTTAAACTAGCAGAAGGGTCTCTTTCCCCTCTTGGCCACAGCAACAGAACAAAAATGTGAATGAGAGAGGGCAGGAGGAAATGGTTATGGCCTAGGCACCCAGGCAGATCCTCTGGGTACCTGGCAGGACAGCAAAAGAGAGGAGAGGAAAGAGCAGAAAGCTCCCAAAACATATTACATCTTTAAATTAGTGTGCTCCGGGTTTGATCCCGAAGTGCTGTAAAATACTGGTTTTTCCATGTACATTGCTTCCATACAGTCATTCATGAGAATAGCTACCAACCACAGTGACTTTTAAAGAAAAAAAATGAACAAACAAAAAAGTATGTTATAAGAAACCATCTGGGAATATGGTCTTCTAAATCTAGAGCTTTCAATACAATGCTTTGTTATTGAACTGTTAAGCAACAGACTCTTTCTGCTGGTCAATCCAAGTCAAGAGCAATTGTAGTCATTTGGCTATCCCTTACCTTTAGGTATTTCCAAATGAAATAGTTGAAGGCAAATTGAAAATAATTTCTCAATGCTTGGAAAGAGAATAGGGATTTTAATAAGATTAAATCTTTTAAAAATCAGAAAAAGCTAGATTAATGTGGCGTTTCCCTTGCAGTATTAACATGTTATTGCAGAATAAAATCATCCCATTAATTCTATTTTGCCTGTGGGTACTGGTATCATGCACTGGCAATCATGGAATGGGAATCCAGCATCCCTTTCTCAGGAGAGTTTTAGATCAAGTCATTGTTACAGATTCCAGTTATACCACTCACCCTATAATGCTTTGCTAACCAACATATAATCAGTTCCTAATGAAACAGGGTCATGTGTAGAATAATCGATGACACATTTGATTCTTTAAACATTTTAAAGCTAATTCTCTACTTGCTTATATATTTGGTTTGCGAACCAGATACCATTTATATTTGCTCATAGAATAAAGGAGATTTTCAGGGAAAATGGAATACTTGTGAATATTTGTAACTGTTTAATAGTAGCACTATTTTCTTTTAGCATATCAGATCCTTTGGTGTTATTAAAAACATGTAGAGTGATAAGAGAGACTTGCTGTAGTGCTGGCCTGAATTTAGGGGAAGGACCATACACTTCTAGCATTGGAACACATATATGCTTTACAGCAGAAGATCACCAGATGCATCTATGGGTTTCCTGATTAAAGATAGCATTTTTGAAAAGCACATTCCTGAAACTCTCAAAGGCATTGTCCTTCTATGCAGGCATTCAGAAACTAGGCAGATAAATTCAATTCTAGTTTAAGTACTATCTGACCATCATTTGCAGCACAGGATAAGTATCTCTTTCTCCTTTAGAGAAGGAGCATCAGTATTGGTTGGTATAGGATAAAAATTATTTCTTTTGTGTTTTGCAGGAAAGGACACTGATAATAAGCATCTCGTATACTGAGGACCACAGAAGACTTCTCATCTAGATGATGGAGTCATATACATCAATAAAAAGTTATCTCTTTTTCTCCCCTTCCCTCTCATTTGGAAACCATTTGTGAATGCATATCTATGGAAAAGAATAAATCTTTAAGGGTCTGCAACATCTGAGACAAAGAAACCCCAGGATTTAGATTAATTATATAAATATTGGAGGAGCTGTAGGCCATTGTCCTCTTAGGCCTGCTTTTGTGGCTGAAGGACTTCTTCAGAGATAAATGTACATAATTTTCCATGCTTATTGTCTTCCATTAGGTTTGTTGAGGTTGGTAGTCCCCTTTACATTTCATTGAGGTAATCCTGATCAGCATATATCAGAAAGCCAGTAAAAACGCTATCTGTCCAGTAAGGATCATAGAACAGCCCATTCTGTTCTGAATAATATATCTGCAGCCACACTTCATCCTTCTGCTTTAGGGAAAGGATTGTCGATCCAGAAGCAATGTCATGGTTCCCGGTGTTGGCATCAAATGTCTTTATCCTGTACTGACCATTGTACACCAGCCCAATAGCCAAGTGTTTATTGGCCAGTGTGATATCGTAAGTGAAATAATAGACGCCGGGGATGGTGCATATAAATTTCCCACTGGAAGTGTTGTAATTTCCACCTTCATTCATGAGGACCCTGTCAAATTTGATGGGCAGTCTCTCTTTTGGGTAACTTTTAGTCACAGCAACAGAAAAAGCTGATCTGGCTTTCTTGGCCTTGCATTTGCAAGGGCCAGACATCCCAAGGTCTCCTTGAGCTCCTCGGGGTCCTTTCTTTCCAGCTCCCCCGCTTTTTCCAGGGGGGCCCTTGGGGCCTTTTAGACCACGGAGACCAGCTTTGCCAATGGCTCCTGGTTTTCCTTTGGATCCTGGCTGGCCTGGATTTCCCATCCTGCCTTGGTTACCTATGAGAAAACACAATCACAAT